AATGTAGTTTTTAAACGTGAGTTTTTCTGCACGTTAAACTTTGCGCCACCATCAATCAAAGCAGGTAGAGGCTCGGGAGAATTTCATGCCAAGTTGTACTAAATTACACTGCAGCATCTGATCTGAATAAACATTCCCAGCTGCTCCGCTCAGCTCACACACCGAGGTTCCTCAGGAACCAGATAAAAACAAGCAAGGCGAAATAACTCTACAGCTTCAGGCAGGTTTTAAACAGGTGGCAGTGTGTGAGAATCTGAACGATTCCTAAATCAGCTCTCACGTTAACAGATTACACCGTCCACCACTGAATGCTGGCTGATGGTTGTCAGAAAAATGCACCAATAAAATATTTGTTGGTCATCAAATGCACCAAATATAACAATACACCTTCCACTGCAATGTTTGTGTAGGCATCTCAGATGCTGAAATATATTATTATCTTTAATGGTTACTTTTATTTTAGTTCCACTAATTGCATGTTATTAGATTAATATTAGTGGCTATATGAGTAGTCCTACTATAGCTGCAACAGAAACTCTGTGAAATATATAATAGTCATATTATGTAAAATATATGATATGCAGATATGTCTTAATTGGCTTATACTGATATAATGAAATATCAATTTTCGAGTTTGTAGGTGAATCCTATTTAAACAGTTCAACTCTTCATTCGTAACTTTTTGTGTTTCATAAATAAAACATGGTTTGCACAAAACGTTGCATATTTAAAGTTATGAAAAAACTAAATTTGGTGCAGGTGGTAGCTGTCTCTGTAGAAAGGCGAGTGAGGTGAAAACTTGATAGTTTAATGCTTTTGAAGCAAAGTTCTGTGAAAAGGTTATGAACAATTAATGTCTTACCTGTTCCGGATAACTCTGAACACCCTCTATTTAGAGAAATGACTGTTACATGGTTGTAGTAAAACAGTGAGGTGACGTGGCAACATTTTTGCGGTATGAAAGTATTTTACAACATAAGACAAGTTCTTCTGTAGTTACTTGTAAGCTTTGATATGTACCGTAATTTTCAGACTATTGAATGCACCTGAATATCAACCATAATTAAAAATAACAATGCATATATAGGCTGCACTTGTGTATAAGTCGCTTGTGCCCACATTGTAACATGAGAGATTTACAAAAAAGATTTAGTAAATTTATACAGGTATTCTCATTGAGTCACAAGGACCCACCCCTTAAGAGAGAGGTGTATTGGGCAGCTATGTGAGTGCCCGGATGTGATGAGGCTAAATGTTTTGGCAGCATGAAGCTCATTAGCCCTTCAATAAAAATAATCCATACATTAGCCACAGCATTGTTCAAAGCATGTGAAAAAAGTAGTGGCTTACAGTCTGAAAATTACAGTATGTATTTCTTGTGATGGTAATGATGAAGCTACATTCAATACCACCAATTTCATTAGACATTTAAAATTCAAATGTTCAGCTAAATATGCAGAGTTCACCTGGCTAACTCCTAAAGCTAACACAGTTAGGTCACACTTAAAAGAAAACAGCGATGAAGTAAAAATGATCATCTCAGGCACTTAGAACAGAGGACTGAAAAAAAGAAAAAGAAATGTA